TCACTATTTATTCGAGACTGAAAATGAAAAAATGAATCCAATCCAATTAATTCGGAATTAGGTGATTTTTTGCATATGGAGGTTCGAAAGCATGAGGAACAATAATAATGAGGTTACATTTTCTGTAAAAAAATGCCTAATATGATTTTATGAAAAATCGACCCATATTTAGTTCAATAAAAACGCACGGCACTGCCCGAAATAATGTGCATCTCTGTGAAACGGATCATGGTGATGGTTATTGAGATATAGAAGGGGGGCCGTTTAAAGTGAGACACGCTATATAGGGTGAAACTGCACTTATCATGCGATGGTTTTTTTTTCGAAAATTTTTTTTTGGTACTCACGTATTTTTGTCTGAAATACACGAATTTCATAATGAAAATGTGAACAAACCATTATTTTTTTTCTGTAGTAGTCCATACTCAAAGTGGAGTGGAATGATCAATAGAGAAAAACCATAATCGTCTCCACAATTTTTAATGTATAATCAGGCAGTCAATCCTGCTTCATTAAGGTTGATACATGTTTCGGCCATTCAAATGGCCATCTTCAGTCAAAAGAATATAACAAAGTGTATCTACAATAGAACATCAAACATGATTTTATATAAGAAAAATTGAAATTGGAAAAGACAACAGTTGTAAATTCAAATTGAATTGATTAACAAATTTCAGTTAGATCAAGGAGCAACAGTGATTTTTATGAGTATACAATGATAATTGATCAGTAATTGATAATAAAAAGTGAAAAACAAGATTTTATCAAATAAAAAATTCTGAAAAACAAAATGGAGAACCATAGATAAGAAGGTTGTACTCACGTGGAAATTACTTCAATGCATCGTGAAGGCGAAAAAATTATTACTTAATCATCATTATCAATTACTGATCAATTATCATTGTATACTCATAAAAATCACTGTTGCTCTTTGATCTAACTGAAATTTGTTAATCATTTCAATTTGAATTTAGAATTTACAACTGTTGTCTTTTCCAATTTCCAATGTTCGATTTTTTATTGTAGATACACTTTGTTATATTCTTTTGACTGAAGATGGCCATTTGAATGGCCGAAACATGTATCAACCTTAATAAGCAGGATTGACTGCCTGATTATACATTAAAAATTGTGGAGACGACTTCGGGTTTTTCTCTATTAAACCATTATTTATCGAAAAAGTTCGAAATTTCGGCTTCTTTTTTCCCCTGTGTTGGATGCATATGAAACAACTTGCTCTTCTTATTTTGTCATTGGACACTCTATATACTCATGACATATTTTTATACATGGAAAATTGAACATAAAATATTGTTTTCATTGCAGTTTTTCATATTTAGTGAACAATCATACCAAATGACGGCCATTTAATCAATTGTAAATCCAAATACGAGATGTCAAATGTGAACAGATTGCTCTTGAATGACATGATTTCAAATGATATTCTTCCTTCTTTTCACTAGATATGGATAAATCGCAAGAAATCATATTTCTAGCTGACTCATATAATAGAAAAAATGTGTCATTGAAGTACATTGTGATATATAAATTGTCCAATGATGAAAAAAGAAGGGCAAATCGTTCCAAATGCGATCCAAAAAACAGGTGGAAAAGAAAGTGACATTTGTAACTTTTATAGTGAAATATCTAAATATAAACAATGGTTTGTTCACATTTTCATTATCACATTCGTCTTTTTCAGACAAGAATACTTAAGTACCAAAACAAATTACGAAAACCCCGAACTTGACAGACCAATCAGATTCAAGAGCTTCTGGTTTATTTGATAACTGCGCGAAATAGTCTCCATTATATCAGAAACTACTACTTACTCTCGGATAGTACAGCAAAAAAAAATAAAAATAGAGAAATCGATGAAAAAAATCGAATAATTGTGGCCGTCATGCATTGCTGTTTTCAAACGTACCGTTGCAAAAATCTTCTCCGCAATCATTACAAGACACTATCCTCATCTCCACTACACCTGCCTTATTCTTGATTCTTCTTATTTGAGGATCAAGTTGGAACTGCCTTTTCTCTTGCGCTCTGCTTTTGTTTTCTAATTTTCCTAATTCCACCAATCTGAAAACCATAAAAGAGAATATTACTCATTTATTCCACATAATATGTAAGGTGAAGTCATCTTCGCTACTGAAGGAATACAGTATAGCATATTTGAATAATTCAACTTGCGACCAATGGAGTATAATACAGGGTTTCCCAGGAAAGGTCATGTCGTCGATAGTGTGGGACAAAATAATGTCAGTACTTCATATAAAAAAATTGCTACCGCACGTCGTTACGGAGTTATTGACCTTGAAAGTTTGAATTACCTTTTAACCAAACTATCCATTTCTGAGGAATCTCTTGGAATATGTTGATTTTTATTTTCAATTCTCAATATTTATAATAAAAAAGTTGAATATACTATGGGTAATCCATGTTTGCCTTGAGTTACATTTGTAAAAAAATGTCGCGGACGTCATAACCAAAGAGTTATTTTTTTTATTATTATGGTGAAAAAGTAATTTATGAAAAGTGACATTTAATAATCAGTCAACAGAGATGAAATTTCAATATTTTTTCCCGTCATAGAAGAAATATTTCTTCAAACCGGACCAGTAGTTTTGTAGCCTATTCAATACAAACAAACAATCAAATCGTTCCTTTTTGTATATAAAAGTGTAGAATTACCTGGAGAAGAAATTTTCTTCCACCTTACTTTTCGGACGTAATGAAGTCAACATTTTCCAATCGATAGTGACAGCTGCCAAATCCTCGAGCTTCAACTTTCTCATCTCAACTGGAATCGGATCCATGAATGCATACTTCTCCTTCGCTTTTTTCAGTTCCTTCTTACTCGACTTGAACTTGAAGGTCTTGTCTTTGATTTTTATACTCTCTGGTAGCACCCTTTCAGGCCTCATCTTGAAATCTGGAACTTTCTCCAGCAGTCGCCGGAATTCTTCATTGGATGTCACTGTTATCCTGGATAAATCTAATATTGGTGCAGTTTCTTTTTTCTTGGTCAAAAAATCATCCAGTTTGGCCATTATAGCTTATCTACGGAAATAATAAATGAACATGAAGAACTTTAAAATAATCTTGAAATCTAAGCAATCGTTATCAAAATTGTTATTGTCGTTTCGTTGAAGATAATGACGGTGATGTACTCGGTATATTTTCCCATTGGTCTTGTTTCATCAACAAACCCGTATGTAAAGAAGATAACTTCTCTAGGATATCACTATTTACATCGTCCACATCTGGCAGTCTATCCGAGTTCTGTATCAACTCACTTCTGAATCGAATATTGTCTCTAGGCGAGTTGTGCTCTATTTTGAGAATATCCACTTTAACATTTTCTTCTGAACATCTATGTCTGCCACATCTACACATGCAACAACAACTATTTTTCTTGTAATAAATCTGATCCCTATCTGACTCTAGAGGAACCATCTCCGTCTGATACATCCTTACATTTTCTGTAAACATGTCACTTTTCCTCCAATGGGCTCGTGAAGTCCTTTTGTCTACATAACCTCTTTTTCTATAGGAACGTGGGGTAGCAGTCTGGCTATCATCACTGGAATTCTTGTCATCGTATGGTTTCGTATCCCTTATCTTTTGCCTCATCTTCTTCCTTTGGTATAGTGGATCCTTTTCACTTTGCTTTAGATATCTTGTAGGAGGTCTATTTGCATTCCATTTTGGTCTATCTTCCACACTTTCGCTCCTACTCCTCCTTTCTTTCCTTATTTTATTATCGTACGTTAACTCTATGTTACTCAATTTCTCCCTAATATATTTCTCCTTACTATCTGCTGAGGAATCTACTCTTGCAAATACTGATTCTTCAGTTTGCGTACTACTATCACATACTCTGTTATTCTTATTTCTGTATTGACTTGGGGTGAGTATCCTATTCTCAGTACGAGAAGTACTGGAACTTCTATCCGTCAGTGGTATAGCAACAGCTGGAATGTTTTGGGGAGTTGTAGGAACTAAGAGAGCATATTGAAAATGTTGGAAAGTATCTATAGCTGCTGGTATAACAAGAGTAACATTGTTATCTAGTCTTGGAGTGCTTAGTAGAGTTGGAGAGGTGTCCTTCCGCTGATTATTCAGTTGTTCTGTTTGTTCAACACTGCAAGCTTCACTAGGTTCTTCTTTCGAAGGTCTTGGTGAGATAGTGTTTCCTCTAATCTCCATATTATTATTCAACTCGTTATTGAGACACACATTGATTGGTACACTGCATTTACTATTATTCAGTTGATCACAGTTAATGTTTTTATCTTCCACTATGTTCAGATTATCATCTGCTTCGGATTTTCGTATAGGTGAGGTAGTCCTAGAAGAACATATCTTGTGTTCTAGGTTTTTAAAATCATTCACATTATTTTGTCTACTCCGTTTCATTTTTTCTTGTTGAGCTTGCTTTTGCGCTAGTTCGATGGCTTCTTGAATTGCTTCTTTCCGTTTTCTTTCTCTTTCTTTCTTTTCTTGAAGCAACTTGAATTCCTTCTCCTTTCTCTGTCTTTCAATTTCCTGTTCTCTCTGTATCCTGAGTTCCTCTTCATGTTCTTCTCTGATTTTTCTCTCTCTTTCTTCACGTTTCCTTCTCTCTCGTTCTTCTAGCTGTTGAAGAATGGCCTCTTGGTGAGCCATAGCCACTTGTCGTCTTCTCTCCCTTTCTGCTAATTCCACTGCATCGACTGGTATATTCTGACCACGAATATGCGTGCTGCAAAATGAGGTGCTTTAATAGGCAAGAATTGATAGTTTGAAATTTCCTCACCGATTTTGTGAATAGCTGGAACCAGTGCAAGGCCTCTCCTGGTCTTCGTATTTTTGCTCTGGTGACTCTGCGGGAGATGTGTTGCTCACTATGATTTCGCCATCTTTCAGCCCCCTTTTCACCCAATTCGGCGGCTCATTCGTTGCCAGCTTTTCGAACGACTCGTCTTTTGGTTGCCAGAATTTTCCCACTCCTACTCCTTTGTCACCCCACTTTGGTCTATCATCTCTGCTTGAAGATGATTCGTAACCAGATTGGTTCCAGCTCTGGATACAGTCGGGAGTCTGGTTGGGATTGTCACTTCCATATCCAGAAGTTTCCCCACCTTCCTTATCTCTCTCGTACCTGTCACAAGAGTTGTACTGATTTTTGTGAAGTGGGGGAAGACTGCCTCTTCTGATGTCTTCACGGTAGTTTTTCCTGAATTGTGGGTTATGGACCATCGAGACTTTTGATTCATATCTATTCCTAGAAAATGGTTTCAATAGTGATCGGATGCGAATTCGATAGTTTATTGTACCTGGTGTGAGCTTGATCTGAGTTTTGATCTAGGGATGTCCATTGACCACATAAAGCAGCAATTTCCTCTGGAAAAGTATAATAGACAGTAGCCGCAATTGTTTGAATGTAGATTCAGGATTACCTCTTTCTTTTGCCCACTGTAGTTTTTTTCTCTCTACTAAAGACAGAGACTGATCGGAGAACATTTCATGGTAATTTGGCACATTGGCTTGTGAAATTATTTTCTTTTGATAATAGTTTGAAGCTGAAATGTGAATTGTATCCATATCAATATTGTTGTCGGGATAGTAGAGTATGAAAAATTAGTGATAGATAGAAGTTTTTATTTTGCTTCGTGGGTACTACGTATGTTGCATGTGTTCCAAATTTGGATGAGGTCATTGTTCTTCTTTCTCAAAATTTCTATTATCTTCCATGTTGACTTGAAATTACAGTTACATGTTTACAAGACGCATTCTATCAATTTGAATAAAGAAAATAATGACCATTTTCATTATGATTTCCGTTGGCACATATGGTACTGAAGATCATTTGAACCTTGATTTAATTTGAAAAGATTTATTTTGTCTTGATACTGAAATGTCATATTCAGGTTTTCTGGCCATCAGTAAAATATCTCCACTTCAAAGATTATACCTCAGAGTACTAAGACAAGAAGGATTTCTTATGGAACGTTCTGCAGGGGGGATTCTTGTGGAATGATTTCATAAGTGAACAATACTTGGAAAATTGGAGTTCAATTTACATACGTCGACTGAGCAGGGATACTGATTGTAAGGTTGGTTTCTTATAATTCCCTTTCAAATAGTTATTACTGAGACAGCTGTACATACATTCGCTTTCAGTTGTTGTGAATTATTCAAATGGTGTGTTATCATTAGTACACGACGTTGTTTTATGTTATATAATGACAATATATAGTTTTGAAATACCAGCATTACTTGTGTTATCTTCAGAACAATCATTATGCAGGTAATTTTGCTAATACTAAAGCACTTTCAGCGGTATCGTCTCAAGGTGTCGGAAAATCAATAATGCATATTATGTGAAATATCAATAGATATATTCACACATGCAAAATATCCTATTTTTTCTGAGGATGAAGCTGCTAAGCTTCGAAACACATCGTTTTGATTGATATATCAAAGTATTACCTAAGTAACTGGTAGAGACGACGATCTGTTGAATCTATACATTCCTGAGATCTATAATAAGTGTGAGTTGAGGATTGTGAAAACCAATAGGTTATTTGAAGATTATTGTGATATTCATGATCATAATAATGATATAGGTCCAAATATTCAATGATATAGCTGATATAGCTTGGGTATATGTATACAGCTTTCAATTCACCACCAACAATGAAATATTTCGCTCATTACATCCCCATTATGATACCAAAGAATATAAGTTCTATAATATCATATATAAAAGACTAATATGAACATGAACAAACCTCAAGATGGAAATATTTAAGGTTTTTATTCGACTATGAAACGAGGATTTCGAACTACCTTCGCCTGATACTCCTATACAGATATATTTTTGATGTTTATATGGCTTATTGGGTCGAAACACATCCAGCAATCACAATTAGCACCGATAAATACAATTTTTTTTACTTGTCATAAAGATGTTGCATCTTGAACCTGGAGACGCAAAAAAATACGGGAATTCATTCCTAAAGCATTTTTCTAAAACATCTATTTACTAACTAACTTTAAAAATCAGACTATTATTGATTGTTTTTGAAAACAAGGTGAGATATTTAGTTGGATCACCTCATTTGTACATCAGCTTAGTTGGTTCCTCTGTTATAAAGGGTGTCTTCAAATTAGCCTCCTGTGGCTTCTTCGACAAAAAATGAGAGAAAAAGCTTCAATGAACATAAGTCGAAAAATGTGTCCTGAAGAAGCTACTGCCCCTGAAATTAGGCTCTTGGAGATAATATTCCTTGCATATTTCCGTAACACCATGTGATGAACCGAAGAAATGTGGTACAAAAATTCAACTTTTTATGCCAGATGCAGTGAATCTATGAGTATAATACAGAGTGAGACTATATTAAATATTACTCAAACTTATTTGCGGGCATATTTCTCGACGATTTGATTACGGATTATGGAAATCCACACCAGTTTACAGAAAAAAGGTATCTACTCTTGTTCCGTATCCATCAGATGTGTCATTTTGAGTGAAATCTATTTAAAATGATTGTTACATATCAGATATTATGCATAACATTTCAATCAATCATAGTGAAAATAAAAAAAAAATGCAGAAAAATTGAAGTCGTTTTTTATCATAATTTTCCTATTTGACGCGCTTCGATGAGATTGTTTGGTGAAAATAAAGTAGTTGATTTATTTTATTGCCCCTATGATTTGAAAATTGGCAACGTTAGGCATATTAGATGTGAATGTAACAATATTTTTAGATCAATTTCACTCAAAAATATCTGATAGATACGAAACAAGAGCACATTTTTTCTGTAAAACAGTGTGAATTTTTTTAATCCGATATTGATTTGTCTAGAAATGTGCATGTAAAAAAGTTTGAGCAATATTTAATGAATTCCCACCCTGTATCATATACACTCTCAAATGAAATTTTGGAATGATTTTATTTTCAATGTATTGAGCATGGAAATATTCAAGAGATATCATCTTCAATTTTCAGGTTGGTATTTGTGATACATCTCATTATAATTTTCTTCAATAACGCCATTGTCTGTGAAGGGCGTTTCATATTGATGAAATATTTTTCAAGTTATGAATCAATACATCCTCAAGCTATGAAATAGATACACCTTTGTTTATGCAGATTGTGATCAACAAATATGAGGAATAGGTAATAACAATTCTGAATTGAGGCTGTAAGAGGACTCATATTTATAGCAAACAGGACTCTGGGTGCCTAAACTATTATCCTGGCGAACGATCATACTATATCGCCAATTTATTAACTGTTTCTTACCTTTATTCCACAACAAAAACCACAATAAGCAAAAAAGCAAGAAAGAAAGAAAATCAACACAAAGGCTACTCTAACTGACGAGTCGACGACGCGAGTCTGAGGTAGTGTATAATAAGGAAAACCGCGAAACCATGCGGGAAAACTATCTTGTATTTGATCAATTTTGCCGCCATGGTGACCGCTTTTCAAACATTCCGGAGGTGAACAACCCTTTCGACAACGTTCGCTCGGGATTTTCCATCACGACCAGTGGGCTCACCAGAGGGTTGAAGGGGTTAAAGTCAGAAATACTGACAATGAAATGATCTGAAAAACTGGTGGAAATGATTGTGCCCAACATATATAGGACAAACTAGTAAATCAATTCAAACAGGGCAAAGGAACATCTCGCAATTATATACGAAGTTTTTGGTAAATTAGCGTAGCGAAACGCTAATCATTACACGCAAATTTTGAGCTCCGACTCAATCGAGCAAGTTTATGGAGTTGAAGTGTTAGACAGAAAAGTTGTGAATGGAAGATAATAGTACAAAAGATAGAAGCCTATTACGTATGATGGTCCTTTAAATAATTCAGTAAAACAAAGTAGTTGTAGGTGATCATTTGTTGATTCATAATCCGATATTCGATGCCGGAGTTGCTTTAAACGTGAAGAACAGAAACTTGTAGTTTTCTCAGTATGGATGATCCAGAAAGTTTCTAGAAGAAAATTGTCTGAATGTATATTTCTGCTGAGTATATCTACATAAAAAAAACTACTATACAGCCACTCTCAGGCTCGTATACAGGTTTCAAGGGGAGAGGATAATTCTTGACGTGGACTGACAGAGAGAAAGAAAAAGCGCCGCAGGCGAAATGTTATTGTTGTTCAAGATCAAATGAATTTGAATTGATCGTTAAGATCAAATTCAGTTTGATTCATTCACCTGGACAATTGAATTTGCTGATGGCCAAAACATTTTCAAATTATAAATTTCAAGTAAACTTTCAAGTTCACTTCTTCTCAAAAAAATTGCTTGACTGTTAGACGATTCAATGAATACGTAGATCATATTATTGTTGTTGTTGATGGTTTTTTCAATTTCAACTCGAAGATTCTCACTCCGACATTTCCACATATTGAATACTATTCTGACGAAGCAAGTTTGAGAAAAATTTGCATAAACACCATCAAATATTTGTTTGTCATTTTGGTTGTTTTGCTTTCAAATGTTGAGTGTCCGATTTGTCACTGGAAAAGTTAGGGCAAACTTTTACCGCTTTCATAATGAGAAAATCCAGCGGTTTACGGGTTATATACATAAATTGAATTTTCAATATAAGAAAAATGACCTTGCACGCTGTAGTTTTGGCATTTTTCAGTTTTTTGGAAAAATAAATAGATTATAATATACTATAGTTAGGTACCTACGCATTGAATGTATTTAGATTCATTCTGGGAATCTCAATGTTAATTTTGATTAGAACACTGAATTTTCTTGGATCGTCTGGGGGGGGGGGAGGGTTACCCCCATTTTTTCCCTCTTCTTGTATTCGCGTAGGCGCCTGGCCGTTACCACAGTTAAAAGAATACATATATTTGTATTATTTTAACTGTGCCGTTACCCACGTGATATAGTCTCGATGGTAACGGCCTGGCCACTCTACGGCAATAGATCAGTATGGAGAAGAAAATCACCTATAATAGTCCTCAATATTTAGTTGATCTTCCAAAAAATTGTAATACTTTAGAAAATATATACCTCCCTGTTTAACTTGGTCTAGTAATGCCACTGATTTTGAGTTAGCGATGTCGTGTTGGGGAAAGTGATTTCTTTTTTATCGGTGGTGATATTATAATGATAGCAATCTCTGCCAAGGTCTCTGTTCCTTCGACCTGATTTATGGAATCAGAGATTGCAAATGGGGTGGTACCATAGACTATACAGAAGATTATCTATTTCATTAATCTTTGGTGGTACACACTAATAAAATTCGCCGCGTACCTATTTCATATTGATCTTTTCATGTTTCAATAATGCTTGTTAAAAATACTCTTTTTCGATAATTGAATTTGGCACCTTTTGAAAACGCTAGCTCTTGATAAAGTTATATACCGACAAGCAATACATATCTCTCATATTTCTCAACAACCAGCATTATCACATAACAAATATTCACTTCTACCGTTGGTGTGTACTGAGATATACACAATACATAAGCCGTAT